AAAAGTAGGGCTCCATGTAATTTCCCCTGGGAAAAATCGTGTAAAGCAGCCCAACAAAAGGACTGTTTAAGTCTTATTCATAGAGCAAGGGGGGTAAAACTGTACAGGCGGTTAAGGTTTTCATCCTCGGTATTACTCGTTTTAGCTCTTGCTTGTTCTGGAAACCCTGGTCGTTGGTCATTATAACGACGGTAGTTTCTTTAAAGCAAGACTTTTGACCTATTTTTTTCTCTGATATATGACCTTCAGCTCTACCGCTTGATAGTTTTGACAACTAAATCCAGTTTTCATGTTGCGTGAGTAGTTCACTGTAGTGTTAAAATTTCTGAATTTTTTTGATTAATTCATCTGTGGCTCATGTTGAAAGCAACTTGTTTTTTACTAATAACAGTCTATACCTAAATACCTATGGTGATGCAATAAAATTGCTGAATCTGAAGGGGGGTGATATACTGATATATGTGTTGGAAGTGGTCAGATATCTGTTGAGTACTGCTCGGTTTCGAAGGTAAGGTGCAATCAAGGAAAAAGTTACAAGATGAGGATGGCACCGGTTAGCAAGAAAAATATTAAATTTCTATACCGAATAAATACATTGTTTGCCTATATTATTAAGTAATGTCATTCTGGATTTTATACAATGTTTAGATATATTTTTGTCTCTGATGTGGGTGAACGGAAGCTACCTGCATTACTAATTTACATCCCCCATATCTAGTTCTCGTGTACGTTTCAGCTTCAATGTAGATATTAGCTGTGCGCAAATGATTAACTCCAATAAGCGAATTAAGTGTAAGAAATATTTATAAATACTATAACTTTGTTCACAGATGTTTACTTTATGTCTGTCATCTCATGATTATTTGGTTCCTTAGATGAAGTAATGGATATGTAGAAAAGGTAGAATGCAGATCAGGTAATTTCAAAATATTCATATTTGTGTGGATGAAGAGTATCTCTGTCATAGAAATCTTAAACAAAATAAAATGAAAATTACAAGTTAAGTATAAGAATGAAGATAATAATTTCAGAGGAATATTTTGGTTAAATTCCCAATTCGCAGATAAAAATTGAACATGTTTATATGGTGAATATCTACCCAAATAGATCGCGAACCAAACTTATATAACCTTTGATGAAATTAATAGGAAACATGCAGGGAGATTCTTTTGGTGCTTTAGAATTGTCAAATCAAGATTTGGGAAACTAGAATAAACATTTGGGTATATAAAACTTGTTTAGTACGATTGGACTGCACCAGGCCGGTCTTGTGATTTTCGGGGCCCGAGGCAAACTCCGGAAATTGGGCCCCCCCAAAATCAGTGTAAATGCAAATTCAAGGGTATATTATGTAACATATTGCTAACTTAAAATTGATCAGTAGAACAACAAACAAAAATAATGAACAAAAGATTTATATTATAAAGTAATAAAACAGACAAGGCCGACAAAACCATTTATATAAGCCGACAAGACCACAATTATATAAGCCGACTAGGCCACAATTTCATAAGCTGACAAGGCTTCAAACAT